ATTCCCCTCTGTGGTTTTTTTTTTTTAAATTTTTTTTCTTTCCTTTTTTTTTTTTCCTTTTTTTTTTTTTCTTCTGGACCTACACTCCCACACAGTAAAAGTTTCACTACTGATGTCTTCAGCATTTCTCTTGCTTTTGTAAGTGGGTCATGGCTCCTCTTTCCAAACACATTTTCACCCTGAATCTCAGTCTTCCTCATGTCTTTTAGTTGTCTAAAGATTTTCTGAGCATGTTCCAATAGCTCATAGCAATACTCTTGCATCTTCAGTGTAGTAATACCAAATGTTGCAGTGTGAAAAGGCAAATGAAGCTTCTAGTAAGAATTGCTGTGTACAGCTTCTGTTCTTCATAAAATCCTAGAATGGTTTGGGTTGTAAGAGACCTTAAAGATCATCTAGTTCCAACCCCCTTGCCACAGGCAGGGACACCTTACACTAGACCACGTTGCTCAAAGCCCCATCCAGCCTGACCTTGAACACTTCCAGGGAGGGGGCATCCACAGCTTCTCTGGGCAACCTGTTCCAGTGCCTCACCACCCTCATAGTGAAGAATTTCTTTCTTGTATCTAATCTAAATCTACCCGCTTTCATTTTAAAGCTATTACCCCTTGTCCTATCACTGCGTGCCCTTGTCCAAAGGCCCTTTCCAGCTTGCTTGCAGGCCTCCTTCAGGTACTGGAAGGCTGCAATAAGGTCTTCCTGGAGCCTCCTCTTCTCCTTCTTGTCAGTATTTCTGGAAGAGAGACCCTTGTTTCAGTCTATACCACAGACTGAAGCCAGTTTCTAGAGCCAGCTTCGTACTCTTGGTATTTGTGAGGTTCTGAAGTTGTAACTGTTGATGACAATAACTTCATTTGGGATAAGATGTCAAGGCATAAGGCCCTATGCTTTCAGTGGCCTCTTCTTTGTTACGGTTCTTACTCCTCTTCTGTTACCTTGAGTGTCCCTGTCACTTCGGTGCAAGAAATGGCCAAAACGGTCTTGCGAATCTTGGCTTGTAAAGTCATCGAGCAAGACCTCGTACCATTAAAATTGTACTATTGATGCCACATCTCATTCAGGTAACCTTCAAACATCATCTGTGAGATGGTATCTTGGCCCACTTATCCTTGAGCTGTGTGTAAAAATCTGACAGTCTGAAGCATCTAAAACCAGACAGCCACTTAATGCAGCTAAGTTTTAGCAGTTCACCCACTATCTGAAGATCAAATGGCATCGTAGTTTTAGTGAGTCAGTTGCTCTTGATAGGCTTAGTGAGTTAGAAGTATTTTCTCATCATTTGGCTGAGATAATAAAATTTAACAAATTAGTAGAAGAAAAGGAACTATTTTTACATAAACATTCCTCAGTGCATGAGGAGAGAAAGGGCCTCCGGTTGGCATAAATCCCATTGCATTATTACAGCACAGGGCAATGTGTTTGGGGAGTGAAGATTTGACATATATTTTTATTTTCAAACGTCATACTAATTTACATTACTCAGCCCTTTAACTGCCAAACTGTAAAAGTCCATTACGCTACTGAAAGGAATATACAAATTATCCCCTGGCACTTCAGGCAAGAGTTTTACATATACACTGTTATTCTATCAGCCATCTAGCTGTGTGATTCTAGTAGGGAGTAAGTGAGAAAATTATATTGCCTGCAAACTAATTGTACAAAGACTCTGAAATAAGTAATCAGAGCCCAGTCCTTTCTGAAAACCAGCCAGGAGATATTTTAAATTGCTCGATTGTTCTTGTCAGCCCAGTTTAAAGACTCAGAGCTGCCATGTTGATTTTGTTCATTGTATAACACAGCTACCTCTCCAGCTGTTGACAGGACTGGGCAAACTCAACTTACACCCTTACTAGCTGCTCAGTTTCAGCTTCTAGCATCATGCAGTAGACAAGTAAATGATAGAGCTTTCTTCTGAATTTTCCTTACTGAAATAAAATGCAGCATGTTGACTATCTTGAATGGATGTAGTGTACCTATGAAATTGTACAGATTCCCAAACACTTCTTAAAATAGTTTGTTTCTTTACTTTTAGCGTATAGAAGTAAATAAGAAATTATGAGAGCTCTAATGACCTGTAATGTGCAGTAAATTTAAGTTTTTACCAAAATAGATCTGCTAATACTTCGAGTGCTAGGTGAAACGCGTTTTGAGTATGATATGTATTTAAGTACATATCCATTAGAAAATTCCACGAGGGTTGTTTTTTTTTTAAGGAAAGCTCACTGACAGAAATGAAGTCTATCAGTAGAGATATTTGATAAGATACTGCATTTGTATATGAAGTGGTGACAAAATAGTAGTTTCCTTGAACTCTTACTGTGGTCTAGCTGTATTCTAAAATACTGAAATGCTTTAGGGATCCAGCTGAGGCCATTGGTCAGATGTAGATCTTTGCTGCAGCAACAAGTCCAGTTACTGTAACTCTGCTGAGTTCATTGGAGGAGCTCTTTCCAACATCTTCCAAGTTTATTTGCTAACATCAAAAATTAAGATTGAACATCTCCTGTAAAATATAATTCATTAAAGTAAAGCAGTCTAAATTGATAGAAGAATTTTCCCTCTAAGCTAAAGTACTGCAATCTAAGTGATCAGAGTAATAGCTCAGGAAAAATGAACTATGTTGTGTGTTCATAATGTGCTGCACACAATAGACCCTTGCTATGTTTCATGGGATTTTGTGCAAAACTGAAATGTGAGGATATGGATTAGAAGTGTTCACTTAGGGAAATAAACAATCTTGCTTATATTTGTCTGGTTTTGAATACTACTTTTTGGTGTCAACATCCATACCTTTGTCATCTGTGCCTCTGCACAAGGACTCTGGCTAAAGTGGGAACGCTTCACTTGCCTCAGTACAGAACTTAGCAGCTTGGAGTATTCTGTGTTGTAATACTGATCTTGTTTTTGGTCGAGATAATTTCTGACCTTGTGCAAAGTATTTCTGATTCCCTGTTTCCTTTTTTTTAAATGGAAATGGTAATACATTTAGTACTATACTGTGATGAAGTTAATTAGATACAATTTGTGAAGGGCTTTGAAGGTCTGCTTCTGTAGTGGTTGTGCCACACTAAGAACGCATTGTTAGAGTGTGAAAGGATAATGTGAATCTTTTTTTAAGCTTGCCCCTACCATCCTTTCCTACATATCCTTCCAGAAGTGTTACTTCCTAACTTTGCTAATGCATGTTGGAAATAAGTTTTGCAAGAACTGTTGTTTCCTACACACCATATCCTTCAGTTTCTTAAATAGCTTTCATCTCGAGAGCTAAGGAAGGGAAGGAGGACTAAAGTCTGAGTTTTGTCAGCAGTAACCGTTAGCATTCAGACGTACCAAGATCTGTTCTACTTGGCAGCATTGCCAAGTCAGCCATGCAGCAATGTTCAGGAGGAATAAAGCCCGCAAAGGCCTGGAAAGGTTGTGCAAAGTGTGCTGGTTGTATTGGCAGAATATACATTGCACCATGGAGACCTCCTTTATCATAAATACTTAACCAATTTTCAATAGATGTAAGTGGTTTAAGTATTACTTCCTGTTGAATTAGCAGTTGCTGAGCATTTGAGTCTTTGTGCAATCCTGCAATCCACTAATGTGATATTTAATGAGGAGACATCAGTCTGGAGAAAGGTAGTCAATATAAATCAGTGTTTACAAAGTGTGATTAACTCTGAAATATTTCATCAATGCTGTGGTCCCAGGCAGACTCTATGCTAATTATTAGAACCTGCACATGTTTCAGAGCACTTTGACGGACCCTGAGTGCAGCAAACATGGAGCAGCAAAATTGCAATTATGCTCGGACTGTCTCTGATGACAATTTATGCATTTGGTGTGATGACCTCTTGCTTCCCAGGAGGGCAATAAACAGAATGCATTTTCATTAAGATACTAATGCACTTAATCACAGGGGGAAAGGGTTAGAAAGTAAAGAAATACCTTTAAAGCAAGATGTGACAGGCTGATGGGGAAGATACTTTATTTAAAAGTCAGTTTCCTTATGAAACTTCTGACTGCTGCAAAGTCTGTCATACTGAATGTGGTCATGGGCAATAGGATGCATGGCTGGCCAGATGAATAACCTGAGCTAAGCTCTTTCATGAAAAATGCAACGGTACCTGGGCAAAAGTGAACAGACATTCTCCCATTTGGACTTGGATTGCCAAAGATGTAATTTTAAAAAATGTAAAGAAAATTGCTCATGTATATTTTGCCCATTAATATTCAAGTTTTTTGCCTTATTTTTGAGGATAAATAATACGTACTAAGCAGTAACAAAAAAAAATACAGGAGGGATTTAAGGATCTATCTTGTTCTAGGCTTTAAAGAGAATTGGGAGAGGCAGAGGCAAGCATTTCCCCCAGCATTTGTTATTCTGATAGCTTGGTAGGAACGATCCTACTTCTGATGCCTCTCAGTACAAGAACTCTATCTAAAGCATGGAGAGAAGGGGAGATGTCCTGGATGAGACATCTGACCTGGCAGTTGTTGTAGAACATGTTAGGTGTGGTGGTAGCAATGCTGGTAAGCCCTGCCTGGTACGCAGTGCTTGATGTTGTGGAAGGAGAAGAATGAAGCTCTGTAGTACTTGTTACAGCTGGTTGTGCACTAAAGCACGACGATCCCCTTTTCGTATTCTAGATGAAGAAGGACAGATGAAGTTGGTGAAAAATGGAAACAAAGACTGCTCAGGCTAGGAACCTAAGCATGTGACCTGGTACAGACAATCAATGACAAAATTTCCTTCTCCTACCAGCAGGAATTGTGGGTTTGTATTTTTTTTTTTCTCATACAGCTCTCTAGATTTAAAAAAAAAAAAAAAGTCGTAAAGCTCATGCCCTTTAACTCGGCTTTTTGTTTTTAGTTGAAAGCTGTTTCCTTTCCGTAGCATTGTTTACTCTTGATATATTCCAGAATTAAATAGAACAGCAATTGCTTCATATATCCATTGTGTTGATTAGTCAGTGATTCTGAGTACCTCTCTCTTCCTGTACTTTCTCTTACAGGTAACATAGAATACAGCTGCCCAGCAACGAATGAATGTGAAATCACAAAGCGCAGACGCAAGTCCTGCCAAGCCTGCCGCTTCATGAAGTGTCTAAAAGTTGGCATGCTGAAAGAAGGTAAGACTGATCAAGTCAGTATGTATCTCTCTGCAAACACGTACAACAGTTATAGGGCAATCAGGAAAGAAGAGAGATTGGTAAGTATTATGATCAGTTACTGTAAACGCAATTTTCATGTATACCTGTGCTTCCTGACAGTCTGTTTGTAAGTTAAGGAATCAAAGTGTATCTATATAGTGTTCAGCTTCTGTGGAATATTTCTATGTGGGGTGCAGCAAAATCTACCCCAGTGTTCAGTCTCCTTCAGTAGGTTACTAATAGAATAGTCATCATGATATATCCTCTCATTTTCGTTAAAAGCTTTAACATCATGAATTTTCGAAGATTTCTGTCCTCCATTCCTTATCCACTGCTAATCTGTCCCAGTTCTGGCAGAAATACGCACTGTGCCTTCTTTTCCTTATTTTAACTCAGTCTTTGTTTCGTCAGAACAAATGAAAGAGTTACTTCTCAATTAAACAAGTATAAATCTGGAGTATATCTACTGAAGTTACTGTAACTACACTGGAGCAAATAATGCCATATAGAAGAGGAGAATCCACCTCTCTTTCTTTTTTTTTTCTCTCAAATGTCAGAACCCTTGCCATTCACTGTAAGTACATGCTTAGTGTTTTAATTCATCAGTTATATTTAGAAAATAATAAATAACACGTAAATACAAGAAAATGTTTCCAAGAAACAGTACTGTCTCACCTGGAACCTGATTCATCTATGTTACAGAAAGAGGCAATTCCTTAAATCTTTGTCACCTGCCATGCACTTCTATTGCTGCTAATGTATAAGCAAAAATACACTTTTATGTGCATATGTTGTGTACATTATTATTCTAGTGCACTGTTATCATCAAGAAAGAATAACAGGAGATGTCATGGACTTCTGAGCTAGATAACTTTTTAAAATAGAATCAGTGTAAAGTTTTCTAAATCTTGTCTCCAGGGTAGAGAATTTTGTGTTAAGCAACCACTTGAAAGTAGTCCCAAACAATTTTGTTTTGTCGGTGCTTAAAAAGTCAGCTGTAATAGATGCCTGATTTTTGCAAATCATTTGATGGTAATTTAAAACAGGTTTAAGTATATAGCTATCAGGGTAAAATCCAAGAACAACATAGACCAGTGGAGAGATGATGGACAATCACGCACCTACAGACATATTCTTATTGGATTATACTTACTAAGAATAAACCTTGTTCTGTGCAAATGCTTTGGCAGATGCTATGATCATGTGAGCCAAATCCTGCTGTCCTTAGTCTTACTTGAGCAAAACTCCTGTCAGATTCAGTGGGGATTTTGCCTCAGTAAGAACCACAGGATTTGCCCCACTGTTTGAGTAGTGATGGGAGGGTTCCTTCCTTGACAAAATTCTCAAATAACTGACCGCTGGAAGCAGTTATTTAAATGTTAAATTGTGATGTTTAAATATACTGTAGAAAGAAAATGTCTGAGCATGGCACCTTTTGAAAGGGACTGTGCTTCCTAATGTCTTTTTTAGTAGTTTAAGACCCCGTATCACTAGTAATCTACTATACAGATATATTGAGGAACTTGTTTCGAAATGGAACAGCGCTACCAAGAGTACGTACAGGTGAATAGATTTATACCCTTTCTTCTAGATTTTGAGGGCCCCATTGCATATTCATTAACATATATGATTAAAAGTCTAGTGTGCAGCTTCTGGGACTGCATGAGGAGATTAAGTGACTCTTCTACAAACAAGTAATTATCTCAGTTACCAAAACTGTGCACAGATTTACTATGTTTCTGCACACGATTTTGGTAACTGAGATAATTTAGGTAGACAATTCACGTGCACATTGTGAATCATATTTTTTGCATGAACAGTCATTTTCTATGGATGCAAATAATTTCTGCAAGTTTTTTAGTCAGAATTTCATACATTGCCTACCCTAGAAGTATGTACCTTTTTCTGAAAGTTGTACAAAGACAAAATAGCGATTTTCTTTGACAAGAAGGCCCCGTTGTTAGCTCCTCTCCTGGGCACATCATAGTTCTTCCACTCTTACTGTGTGAGTTTTTCTGTCAAAACACAGTAAAATATCTGCTTATTTTTAATTACTGAGCCTTTTCACCTAGGAGAGAGTTAGCTTGTCTTCTTTCTGGGTATTGCTTACCTGTGACCTAACAGGACAACCCAAAAGAACCTACAAGGATGTCATGTTTTCTTGCCTGCTTTAGTGACCACTTTTACTTTGAATACCATACTGACTCATAGTACACTTTTAGAGCTGTACTTGGAATACAGAGATTTTTTTTCGTTTGTTGTTGTTGTAAGGTATTTTTGGAGATGAGTGGTGGGTTTTTTACCTATGGGAAAGTCTGGAGGTGAGGCCTTTTTTTGGCTTGGGCTTCGACAACATCCTTTATGCACAGAACATGAAAAAAGGTGATATACTTTCATGTGTAAAGTGGTGTGAATTTATTGGTTAGCATGGACTTACAGCAGGACTTATTTCAGCTCAGTGTATCTTAATGTTTCTTTATGTACAGACAAGGATTTCAGTCCCATGCAGCATGTCAGAGATCATGCTGCAGTAAATCTATTCAAATGCAAACCTGTTCAATTCAATTACCAGTTTATAATAAAATTTGCTGCTACAGCCTCCACGTTTGTCACAGCAGTGTCTACATGCTGATGGCACAGCATGCCTGGAAATTGACAGCCTAAATCTATTTACAAAAAAAATTTAGTTGCAGACCTGAAATCAAATCAAGTTTAAGCAGCTTTGAGAGGAGCATCATATTCCTTACAAGAACTTCTGCACATCTGCGAGTGTGCGTCTTCTCCAGAAATCTTATCCTGTTAGGGGGGAGTTTTCTTCTAGAAATTTTCTTTAACAAACAGTTTTAAAATGTAATCTTAAGTGAAACCATTATCAGACATTGCGCTTCCCTTCACATTTGGAAGGACTTTATTACATTGTCATTTTGTGAATTGTCACATAAAATTCATCATAGAAATCGCAGTGTCTGGAAAAAGATCCGGAGTTTTATTTTAGCTTTTAGGACAAGGTCTGAAAACCACTTACAGCAAATATGTAGAGTGGCTTCTCTTGTGACAGCTGCATGTTAAATTGTTTATTGTGGGAAGATAATGGTGCTTTTCATCCAGCATCCAGTGTTTCTGCGAGAGACCTAGTGTTAGAAATTTGGGGCCTTGTCTTGGGGTCAAATCCTGGGAGGGAATTGGATTTCTGATCACACATAACGCAGGGTGGTATGGAGAGTTTTTGTGCTGATTCTGAAGAATGTTGACAGGGCATAGCCAGCAACACCTAGATCACGATTCTTAACAATTTAGAAGTTGTGGTCCAGAAGCTAGAGAAGGAAGGGTAAAGCAATGTCATACTGGGCTGAGGAGGGTTGGACTAGATGACCCACAGAGGTCCCTTCCAACCCCTACCATTCTGTGATTCTGTGATTCTGTGAGCTGTCATGGGATTGAAGTCCTGGCTCTTGTCTGCATCTCCTGTGGAGTAGCACAAGAAAGTTACTACAGACTGATCCAGAGGAACACTTCATTTTGATTTAGCCCATGGACTGTTATTTGGAAACATAAGTCTAGGTGTATGGAAGTTTTTTGAGTACGTGTTATGCTTTGTATTGAATCATTCAGCAGATGCTGATGAGCATTTAAGCATGACAAATATGAAGGTGTCATATTTTCATTTACTTTCCTAGCTAATGGTTATTAGCAGCACAGCAGAATGCACTTTACTAAAGAAATTTTATGCTTTTCTATTTTTAATTTTGTGTGTCAGTATTATGAAAAATCAGATTTTCAAGGATCACAATTGGTTCTTCTGAAACACAGTTTCTTTGACAGTGCTTATGTTTTGGTGGATTCTCTCAGATTCACAAGAACAGGAAGAAACAATATCAAGATTCTTGTGTAGTCTAGGGAGAAACTTTTGAAATGTATCGCTAGTGATTTCTTTAAATAATACTGCATTTGCTAAAAGGGAGCAGGGAGGGGGAGAAACAACAGTTTGCCCTTTTTAAAAATGATCACTTTAAGGCATTCTCTAGTTTTCAGTTCTGTTGGTTTATAATCAGTCTTTTAAGTTTGGCCTTTCAAACACTGTGGAAACCAGTGATTAGTTTGCTTCAGGTGGTAGAACTAAATCTGTGTTCATGTGCAAGACTGGGTGTTTTAGGTATTTTCCTTTTTGTACAGCTAGTTGGATTGAGAAAAAGGGGTTGTTTTTCTTTCTAAGAAGGAAAACTGGATATAAAACTGCCTAAGCTGATAGGGGAAATCATGGTAGATATCTGACTTTGTTGTTGTTGTTGTTTCTCTATTGCTAGTCAGTCTGATTGAATTCTACTTTTAGTCTTCCATTAGTACTATATGCCTTTTAATACTGTCTGTGGGACTACTTACTAGCATGTGTCTGTGGCAGAGGATATTCCAAGCTTCACCACAGATCTTGCTCAGAATAGTTGCGCATGTGAAATAATTCCACTGGACTAATTATTCCAAAATAAAATGACTTTTAGTTTCAGGTGCGGCATTCATACAACTATTTTTTCAAGAGGTTAGTCCATATATTTCAGTTTTCTCTGTGTAGGCAAAGCCATAGCCTCAGTTTTATTTGTCCTTACATTGTAGCAAGGTTAAAAATTACAGTTTAGAGGGGGGCCTATTGAGTGCCACTAACGCAGCTTTTAGTCCATCTGAAATATTGTATTCTGTCTTAGCTCTTACAGTTCTGAGCAGTGCTAATTCGTACTTCTTACAGGAGTGTTGATACCAAAACATGTCCCATATATCTCTCATCTCTGATACCGGGACGTTTTCAGAATTTTCTATGGCTTGTTTGCAGTGGCTGATCTTCATTGCTTGTTATTTCAGAAAGTGTAGTTCATAAGCGGGTGATACATAAAGAAACAAATTCAAGTTTGTTTGAAAAGTAAATGATACCATAACGAAACAGCAGAAAATTTGGGTTGCTTCACATAAGTATGTTTGTATTTTCCTTATGA